AATAGGATGCTACTGGACAGTTTCCATTCATCTACAACTTTTTTTCTCTTTTTTTCCTTCTTTCTCTGTCAAAATGGCTCCTGTTGCCTAGTAACCAAACTAAATTAGCACTTTACTATCAACAGTGTCATCTCAGGTTGGTCACGGCACCCTGGGGACGAACTGACAATTTCACGAAAATCGCGTCAAAATATAAATGTCACTAGGTGGAGTCTTTTGTGACCATCCCATACAACGTGAGCATTCAACCGAAGGATTCGGTTTGCCAACAACTTCAGCAGGTGGTACAAATATCAAAGATTTTCCTCAAACTTTCCTGTTTATTTCCCTGTCAAAAGACAGACGCTGTAACGATAAATTGCATGATATTCCACCCTACGTTTTCTTTGTTTTACAAGTTTTATTATTGCAATATGTAATACAGTCTTATCTGCAAGAATACTTCTGTTGAACATCATGTTACCCTAAGCAGTAATGCTCTTAAAAGTGAACTTAATCAATCATCATTTTTAAATAAGTTGAAATAAGAGAAGACTATACTTATCACGAATTACCGATCAACAGAGCCATCTACCGATCAAAACAATAATACACAAAAACAATCTTCAAAGATTATTAGGCCGCCATCTGTATAATTAACAGGTCTTTCTACATTTCTCCATTTACTGTAAATTGCTAATTCAACAAATTCTAATTATAGAATATTTCAATACATTTATTTGTAAAAGTGTTTTCCTTTCTCTTATATTCATGTATAGTCTATCACATTTAGTTCATTAGCATCGTTAACTCAAAAATCGAGTCGAAGTAGGAATCTGGTGAGAATTCTATGTTATTAAGATAATCTTTCAGCAATAACTTTCTCTTGTAAGACGCTTAGCGACTTTTACGTCTTGTAATTGCTTACTTAATTTGCTCTTTTTGCAATAAGAGCATTAGTCGAATTGAAGTAGTGATGATCGCTTGAATACATGGTAGATGGCAGTATAAGCATTTCTTACAATACTAGCTCCACCTACGTTATATAGCTAGCATTAATACAAATTATAAATAACTATAATTATGGCAGGTTGAAGATTGATTATACTTTAGAAGAAAGAATCATTGACGGTTAATTAGCCGTACAATACATTCACTTTCTCTTTATAAAAACGGCTACTCTTTTTCTTTCTATTTTATTACTTTAAAGATTATTGTTTCATTAAGCTAAGAAAAAAAGCTTGTGTGTTCCGGCTATAAGATCAGATATCATTTACCTAGATATATTCATAAAAAAAACCAAGCTAAAAAAAGAAAGAAGAGAATTACTCCTATATATAATTCTATGTTCCAGAAAAGCCCGTAGGCTTAAATTTTACTGTTTGTTTTTTTATGTTATAATACTTATACAATTGAGTATACAAATGTAATGGAGAATGTCTAGAAAAGAACTGCCTAATTGAATCGAATGACTAGACATGTGTTTACTAATCCAGGTACTAATTAACTTGCTATTTGCTTTGATCGATTTCTATAAAACGGGTCAATGGTGTAAAATATTAGAAATTTTCAGAAAGTAGGAGAGCAGTTAATTAGCGGTTTATAATCACTATAAAATACAAATAGTTCAAAGTGACACTAGAGTACTCAAGTCATACTCCTTCCGATGTTAAACAAGTGTCTTCCCCTCTTTCCATCAAGTCGTCAATACTCTCTAAAGTCATATTTAAGATAAACATCATTTTATCCTCTTCAACACTCAGCTTGTTTTTTTTTCTTTGTATGTATATCATACTACACATTAAAGGAACTATTAAAAGCATATAGCTATATGTGTTTTTTTTGTCTTCTTTAGCAAATTTCTTTTAAATTTAATAGAGTTTTTCCAATACTATTTAAATATTTATGAATATTTATTAAACAATTACTTTATGACGCAATAAAATATTAATTAAGTAAATAAAAGATATATTGTAATATTTAGATGTTTATTTATTTTGAAGAAGATTTTTTAAAAAAAGAAAATAAGTTTTAGAGATTAGAAGCTTAATGCACTTTTGATATAGTCTTGTTATACTTTCTATACAAAACAAACGAAATTTGACGCGTCCAAAATGCGCTTCACTCTTGTAACAGTCGCCGAAGTAAACAAATTTGATAAAGTAGGCTGCTCAAGCAAAATCAATCATTTAGAAGCTTCTTCAAAGTTGGCCCTTTTATAGCCGCTTATTTTTTTGTTAGCGATCAATATCATAAAATTCTCTTTCCTCCGGTTTTTTTTGTTTTTACCTTTTCTTCCGCTGAATGCAGTAAGAATATAACTTATTCATCTTGATAAGAATCTTTTACAGTTTATGTTAACATAGTTTGAAATTCTTGGTGAAAAAAAAATCCCATCATCTTGATTCTTGAAAACAATTTGCTGAGCAGATCATCACTTATCTAAACAAAAAAGCCGTTAGAGGGCAGTTAGGTTTTTAAGTATATGATTATTTATCTATATTCTTATCAAAAAACTGATTTTTCACCGATGAAAGTAACTCTCTTCTAGATCTTAAACGTTCTAAAAAGTACTTGACGCCAAGTGGCCATCTCTTAAAGCTCTAAAGAGCAGTATAGCATCGACAAAGAGTTGGCACTTGAAAAATTATTGCTAACTGAAAAAATATAATTTACTTTACTTCACGACAATCACTTATCCACTCAAAACTTTATAAAAGTTCATTTAGTTTATTAATAGCCTTCATTCGGATACTTCTTATCTTTTATATATGTATATTTTCTCTAGTTAACTCCACTACCTTCCTACTTGCTTTACTTTAATACCGTTGTTTTTACTTTTATCCTCCAACCGAACAATAGTCTCTCCCTGTCTTCTTCCCTAGCGCTACTCGTTTAAAGAGTCTCTAAACATAGGCTACTGTCTTCTATTTCGCTAGTATTACTGATTAAACGAAATACAGTTGTTCTGGGTCGTTCATCTGATGAGGCGTGTATTGAAAATAAGCAGAGTCTGAGACTGACAAACTCTCCTCTCTGGGTTGATTTTTCAAATAGTAATATCAAAAAGGGACCACCGGCTTAACTCTATTAGATGTTATCTCAACTGTCGTCTCTCTACTATAAACAACATTTTTGCACTATTTAATGACGGAAATTCTCGATTTTATTAGATTTTATTCATTTCTTTCTTTCTTCCTTCCTTCTCTTAAAAAGAGTAAGTAGTTGGAATAAAAATAAAATAAAAAAAATGGTACGGCTGCTATCTAACTCTAGTTAAGCCTACATTTAGTTTTATGATAATTTAACGGGCAAATTGTGAGCAATTTATTAAGTACTCTACTACCCTTTTACCCATTATGTTTATATTATTATCTCGTTTATTAACGACGTGTTAATTGGTCGCAAAACAGTCACTTTACATTAAATGCCTAATAGTCCATTAAGTTTATATGAATATCACAAATAATTAACATTAGGATATTAATTTCTCTTTAATTTAAAACAAGATTTTCTTTAAGTTAAAAAAAGGAAAGTAAAGAAACCTTTACATTTATAAATTCCGTTAATTTCTACCAACATTCCAATCTTCTCAAGGCAAACTGCGCTTAAAAGCCGCGATAAGCAGAGATAAGCGCATCTCTTCTAATGGCTCGCTATATTGATCCGATAAGCTTTGCCAACGGAGAAGTCTTAAATGTAAGGAGTTCTAGATTTCATTTGTATTTTCTACCTTTGTTTTTAGTTTTCAAATTTAAAAATAAGATGATTATGCTTTCTCTTCAATATTTTGTTTTACATATGAATATATGAATTAGATGCATTGATTGAGATAAGGCGAGTTATTTAGAAACGTTTAGAAAGATAAGGTACGACTTCATTAAGCAGTAAATTGGCATACTATTCCGAGAAAAGATACTGTTACAATAAAACCACGTTTCTATTCATCTTTAGGATGGGCGTCAAAGGCGAATTAAAGGTACTAGATAAAAGCAACAGAGTTCTTTCGCTTTCTTTTCAGTGCATATTAACAATATATACATAATAAATCAGTTTAAAAAACTTCAAAGTATGTAAATATGCGTAATTCTCGATCAATTTTTAACTGTTTGACCTATAAATATATTCGTTAAACAAACAGATTGGAGATGCGGCGGTTGCGTTTGAAAATGACTTCTAACTCTGTTTACCTGCTTAAAATTTAGGCGCCTAAATTTATATTTACCTGGACGGCGCCGAAATTTCTAAGTCTTTGCCCTGTCAATACATTGTCAGAGTTACCCTATTTTCTTTTAATTTTTTTTACATTCTTAATCTTCAAAAGAAAAACTTACAAGAAATGAAAATACTAAAAGAAAAGATTACGCACAACGTCTAGCTGAGCTTTTCTCTCTTAATAGACGTTTCCTTTAATTAACAATTATTTATTATATTTTTATTTATCAATTATACAATGTATACATTTTTCTTCATGATAAAAAGAATTAACAATACACAAAACGAGTATAATAATACTCAGATTTCTTATCTCTATTCTATACTTGAATTACATACTCGAAATAGACCGAAATGTCTTTTATCAAAAGGAATGAAATGCTATCAGTAAATAATTTTTTTTCCTTTTTTTCCGAAATATAAAGAAAATATAAAAGAGTTCGGCTGTTAAAGTCTATGGAACTACTGTGAAATGTTACAGGAGTGAAAGCTTTTATTCTTTTACTCGTTCCCTATCACTCTATCTTCCTTTCTTTCTTTTATTAGAAATCCCTAACCATTTCCTGGTATGTTCTCGCCCCTACGTAAACGTTAGCCGGCGGCGTAAACAAGTCAAAAATCGCGCTACGCATAAAGGATGGCGTTGATCGACCGTTTGTAAACCATGTCCGAATCGAATAAACGCTACCTGGCCGCCGGCAAGTGATAAACAGCCGCACGTGGCAGCCATTTGCCAATTGTCACGCATGCGCAGTAAACTTTCGGTCGCTTATTGGTTATTCTTTGGTACGCCTTTCTTCATTTCGCGATGAACGACCTACCGATTTGTATTCAGGAGGAACCGTTCTCTATGAGAAATATATTAAATAATGGAACATCGGATGTTGTCCAGTATTCTACACCACCTTCAACCTATGATATATCTTATCCGTATCATTTTACGGATAACTATTCCGAATATCAAAACGGAGATGTCTATCCAAGAATAACCGCTTCTTATTTTAATAACGAATCTCAGTATTATGGCAATAGAGGTATTCATTACTAGAAACAAAAATAAGTCAATTTTTATAACGGTTACTTAGTAATAAAATGATAAATAAGACTTTCAAAAGTTATCCAAAAAGGAAATTTCAATACTTTAACTTGCTTTTACCAAAAAGTCTACTTTTATTCGACAATATTCAGTAAACGCTTCGTATTTTACCAATAATGTTCACAGCTAATTTTACGATAATATTAAGTTCCACTTAATATTCCTAGGATGTTCGTCTTTGTCAACAAAAGTTAATTTGTTTTCGTAAAGTGAGATTTTGTATAAAATACACGTATGCTTCATTTTTATTATCGGCACAATCTCTAATCCGATGATTAATTAGCCCCAGTACTCTTTAAATTACCTTTACAAGATCTCTACTATTCTCCATACGTTTTCCAGTTTACTGAATTTTTTTTTCTTTTAAGACAAAGATGCCTCTTTTACCAGTTTTTTTTTTTATTTTTATCTCTAAGACGCTATAATATAAATAAAATTTGTTGTTTGTATACGATATAGAACAAAGAACCTAAAGAAAGCCTGTTTAGAGTTATAATAATTTAAATATAAATGAAAAAGATGGAAATGATAATGGATATATATTCACTTTTCAAGTTAATAATTGTATTACTCATTTATCTTTTTCAGATTCAAGCTTTCTTCCTACTCCCCCACCATCGATTTCAACGGCTAATCAGACGCCAAAGAAAAAATCTGATGCCGATAATCCAATGTCAAAAATTGATCCAGAAGAATGTCATCTGCTGAGGCAAAGATCAAAACGTAAACCTCGAGTTTTATTTTCACAAACTCAAGTTTTTGAATTAGAAAGGAGATTTAAACAGCAAAAGTATTTAAGTGCACCGGAAAGAGATCAATTAGCAAGGGCTCTTAAATTAACGTCTACTCAGGTTAAAATCTGGTTTCAAAATCGGTAAGAATCGTTAATTTTATTTTTTATAAATTAAGCTAAGCAAAATGCAAAGGCGCCATCTAATGAGAGAAATTTTTTATAATTTAATCTTATCTAAGCACTTACGTTAAAGTAAAGAAAATAAACTGTCATTATTATTTGCAGTCGTTACAAAATGAAAAGACAGAAGCAAGACAGAACTTTAGAGTTAACAGCAATGCAATCTCCAAGAAGAGTAGCCGTTCCCGTAATTGTAAGAGACGGAAAAAATTGTGTCGGAGCACCAACGTATCAAACATCCTTCTTCTCTGGATATCCGCCCCCGCCTCCACCTATACACCCATCTCCACATGCTCCACCAACATCGTCGGAACTTTATATGTCAAGTATTCATCCTAACGGCATAAGAGCTTGGTAATTGGTTATTTTTTTGGCGGGAAAGTTACATAAAAATAGCAAATATTTAGTTAAAGAATTAAAAAAAAACGTATTTTTAAACTTTCAAGAGGAAAAAAACTGCAGAGTATAAAAGATAACGAATATTACTTAAAAACGTCTATGCCTTTTATGTACTTTAAAAGATGGTGTAGGTGTGTACAGAGCTTTATAATTGGATAAAATATTATATTTATATTTATATATTGTATATTTTCATAGCTACATGAATGTTTAAACGTCGTCTCTGTCTCTCATCTGTATTTCGCCACTTCTCTCTCTCTCTCTCTCTCTCTCTCTCTAACTCTCTCGCTCTATCTATCCATCTATCTCAATCCATCTCTCTCTATCTACCTATCCTTTTTCCTAATACTCTTTATTTTGTTGTATAATTAATTAAAAAATAAAAATATAGAGAAAAAAATATCCATTATAATTAGAAAAGGTTATCCATTAATTTGTTAATTTATTGATCATTTAGCACTTTAATACTTTCTTGTTTTTATTTATTTTGTTACTTAAAATAAAATTATTTCAATAAGCTAAAAAATAAGAGAAAATTGTTATCGTGTTAAACGTTCACTCGTATCCTTTTACCGTGTCATCTTTACGCCTTAAGAATATCGTGTCAATTGTCATAAAGTAATGTTTATACAGTATCATTCAACAACAAGAAATATAATATGAACTATATACATGCTAATCTGTTTTACATTTAAAAGAGAAATAAATTATTTTTTGTTTTTTAAAGAAAAAAAGGAATTTCATATTTAATTTGTTTGTTTATATAGTTGTAGCTATTTGTTAATAGAATATATTATTAATATATATACTGTATAGATATGTAAAAATTATTGTTATATATAGGTGGTTATTTGCTCTATTAAATAGTAACTTAAGATGCGTTAAAGTGTCGGTAAAATGATGGCGCTACTAGTACTCTTTCCCCATCTTCATTGATCTGCAGACGATTTCATTCTCTGATCGTTTGCAGAAGAGTTGTGTTTACGTTAACAGTCTTTTTAGCGCTTATCACTTTAGCATATGTTTATTGTATCAGCCGAAGTATGTATACACATAAAAATTAATATTATGCAATCAAGAGAAGGATAGGAGAGGTTTAAGGAAAATCCCTGTCTATTATATAACATAGATTATATACAATATATTTTTGGTACTATTTCTACTTCAAACTATTTGGTTATGCAATTTCTAATATTATTCAATAAAGGTGAATTATTGTCATTCACAAAGATTTTACGTTTCCTAGTGCTAAAAAGCCAAGACCTTGTCCCTTCCATTCGATATTTAGCTTATTCATTTCTAAGAGAATAATTTAATTTTATATTTTAATAAATTAAGTTAATTCTACTGTTAATGAGATATCTGATGATATAAGTTGGTTTATTATATAGACCTACAAGAAAAGACGAAAATGTTTAAAAGTTTAGAAGAACAGTTGGAAAGTTTCAGACTAAATTTTTATCGTCCAGTTTATTAAAAATAGACACTAACATTGGAAAATTTACTCTGAAACTGATGAAAAAATTATACGGTTTGGTTCCTTCACTGATCTCTTTTGCGGCTATTATTAAACATAATCATATAATTATGTAGGATAAAAACGTTGCGTACAAAGATAAAAAAAAATCTCTTGAAAAAGATCACGTGATATAATTTTTAGTGAATAATTCAAAAGTAGAGTAAATTTTGGCGTATAAAATAGAACTGATAATAGATTTTAATTATTCCGTGGAGTTAACTCTGTGTTCTAAAAAGATTACTTTCGAGAAAAAATAATAACGAAATTGAGTACAATTGTTTCTTGATCAATCATAAATCAACTTAAAGGTCTATTATTATATCATCTTGACTAGGGTTATAAATTAGGATACTGAGATAAAAAATATGGTCTTCTACTAAGGTGATATTTAGGACAGAATAGTGCGATTTAAATACTTAATCAAACGTTAAATTGAGGCAAAAATAAAAAATATCAGTTATTAATAAATACCAAAATTTTAGTATTAATGCATTCATATTGATTTATGATACTTTTAGAAATTATATGATTATGTAAGCCGTCATTTGATACTGTTTGTTACACGTATTAGAGACAAATCAAGAACTGTAAAAGGCCATAAAAACAATACCGAGTTCATTTACCTTATAAAAGTATATAGAGTTCTAAATTTTCCCCATAAAAAAACTTATACGACCATACTTAACAGTCAAAGAACAAAAAATAAACTTTATATTATACAGAATATACAGCTTATACAGAGTATATGTATATGTATAAATGTTTACATATATATATGTATATATGTATATAAAATATATACAAGTTCCTTAAACAATACATGTATTAAATGCATAAGCAAATACATCCAGAGTATCCTATATGTGCAGTTTTTTCTTCAGCCACAATAAATTTCTTGAATCCTATAGGTGGCGTATTAACTATCTAGGCAACATTGTAACAAAATCAAGACGTTTTTTACAAGGTTTAGGAATAAAGGCAGACCGAACCGGAGAAAAAGAGATGAGAAACAAAATCGAGTTAGAAAAGATTATAAAATTGACAAAAATTTATAAACATTATAGATATACAAAGTATATTGTATATCTTATAATTGATTTAGTATTATATTTAGATTATAAGTAAAATATTCAGCGTATGAATGAACGAATTGAAACATAGGAAATAAAAAATATTCTAAATTATAGTAATAAAATTATGCTAAAAGTTAAGATAAATACAACATCTATTTATAGATTGGAAATGTTAAAAAACGGTTTCCTTTTTAGTCCTTGTCTAGGTGACAGCTTAATTTGGTACAAGGAGATAATCATGTACTATTCCAATTCGTTCTTAATCAAATTAATTTATTTAACTTGCGTCTTTTACTGGTGTTGAGCTTGTCTTTTATATGAACTACTTTTTTTTATAGTAGTATTAAAATGATGATATTTTTGCTCTTCTCTCTCTCGCTATCTCTCTCTCTCCCTCTTTTCAATATAGTATAATTAAAGTAAATTTATTTTAATTTTTGTTTTTCGTTCGAAAATCAATTACTTTCGGTTTTTATTGATTCTACTCTTTGAAGAACAAACACTTATAGAAGAGAGAGGGAAGATGAAGAAAATTTGTATACTTAGTCGTATCTTGAGGCTATATTAAGTTTATATTGAATATATAGTGAACAGTATAAATTTTTTATATTCGAAGGACACAAAACTAAGGTCTATAATTAATTACGTACAATGAATAAAAGATTTTTTAGCTGTTTTATCAGGACATCATGACTAACAGAGGATACTTGAAAATTTTGCATAAAATAGAAAACCTTATGAAGCATTATTAAACTAAAAAACAAAAACAGAAGGAACTTAAACTGACTTGACAATGAGAGACATTTTTACTGGGATTTTAAATTTTTTTGAGGTTAATCCATACACCAATTACGTATTAGTTAACTATTTTAAATATATAGATTATTAAGCTAAATAGCAATAGAAGGCTACTTTGATATTAACCTAAAAGTAGGTAGATAATTGATAAAACTTGAACATTTTACACGAGCAACTTGCTACAAAATGATATATAATTTATAAATCGCGACTTTATCAGTGTATCTGAACTTTTTCAGGCCAAGTCGGTCGTTGATTGATAACGTGAACCAGCTTGTTTTAGGCGGTGGAACGTTTTTCATTTCTGCATTCGCTTGTTGGGTGTGGTGCTCGCTGCTTTTATCGATCCCTTTAAAATCTAAAAAAGCTTCTGGTTTTGCTTTTTTATTGTGACAAACAGTTTTCAACCACTAACTATGCCGCCAAGTGTAAGTTTTTTCTCTTTCTTATTTTGCAGATGATTAAGCAAAGACGACCGACAAAATCTATATAGTAGCTAGTCTGCCTTATCTTGAGAAATAAAAGGGATATTTTTTATCGATTCTTCCACTAACGATAAACTTGGTAAATAGCTTAAAATTGATGATAAATCGTTCAACAAGTGCGTCCAAAAATGTTTTTTGTGTATTTATTATATCTCATTTTTTCGCATTTATTATAAATACATTGCAATATTCTAGGTATTCGATATTGCTGTATAAAATTTAAGTATCTTACAAATATATCAATAATTAAACAATTGTGTTTTTAAGTATTAAACTGATTTTTCACCTTTTATTCGTCAATTACTTTATATTCAAAAATGAATGAAAATTGAAAGAGAGCCGTATTTTTTCTTTTATAAAAAGTTTTGAATATGAGAAGTAAAGTTACCAAATTATATAATTTTTTCTATATGTGAAGATTTAAATATGTATTTATCATTCTTTCATAAATATAATAACTAAGCATACTTAATGACATTTATTCATGTGTCAAAGCCTAAGAATTGTGTCCTAGAAGTTTAAAACTACTTATTTTACTGCAGATATAAATTAGATAAGTAGATATTTTTCTCTCTGATAGAAATATCTTTAAAGTTTTTTATTAAAAAATTTTATTTGAATAAAAAAAATAGACACCGTTTAGATTGATAAGAAAATATATTGAACAAATGATTTCGGTATCGAAAATTCACTAAATTCTTTTCAATTGCTCTTTTATATTAATAATTAAATTTAGGAAAAAGAAGTTAATTTCTTTTATATTTTTCATTTCTTTCCTTCTAGTTGAATGTTCGAGTTTATACCATTGATGCTGAACTGGAATTTACAGTTCTATCGAGCACAACTGGACAACAACTCTTTGATCAAGTTGTAAAGACTTTGGGATTAAGAGAAGTAGGATATTTTGGTCTTTCATATCGAGATCCTAAAGGATTTACTATGTGGTTGAGATTGGATAAGAAAATTTCCAGTCTAGACATAGCTAAAGACCCTTGTTTAACGTTTAATTTTCGCGCCCAATTCTTTCCGGAAGATGTAGCTGAAGAACTAATTCAAGACATAACCCAAAGATTGTTTTATCTTCAAGTTAAAAGAAGTATCCTAAATGAAGATATTTATTCCCCAGCTGATGTAAGCGTCCTTTTAGCTTCATATGCTCTTCAAGCGAAATACGGAGACTTCCATAAGAGTAAATATTTAGAAAATATAGAATTAAAATTAGTTTTCGACAAAGTATTTAAATTGTCTTGTTTTTAGGTATTTCTATCAGTGAAGATAATCTCCTCCCGCAATCTGTGATAGATAACCACAAACTTTCTAGAGAAGAATGGGAAGAGAGGATTATAACTTGGTGGAAAGATCACACAGACCTTTTAAGAGAAGAAGCTATGATGGAATATCTAAAGATTACACAAGATCTCGAAATGTATGGTGTTAACTATTTTGAGATAAAGAACAAAAAAGGATCTGACTTGTTACTAGGTGTTGATGCTTTAGGCCTAAACATTTATGAGCCTAATGACAAATTAATACCCAGAGTTGGATTCCCATGGTCAGAAATTCGCAACATTTCTTTTAACGATAAAAAGTTTATAATTAAACCAATTGACAAGAACTCTCCTGAATTTGTCTTCATCGCACCTCGCCTACGTATAAACAAGCTAATTTTGTCTTTATGTATGAAGAATCACGAACTCTATTTGCAGAGACGTCAAGCCGAATCGATTGAGGTAATTTTAATATTTGCTATATTCTCTTATAGAAAGAAATTGTATTTTTTAATATTAATTAATTAACTAATTACTAATAATTTTCTTTAATATTATTACTATGATAGTTATTAGTTTTGTACTCAAATTGAAATTATTCAACAGAGTCAGCAAATGAGAATTGCTGCATTGGAAGAGAGAAGAAATAAAAAATTTGAAAGGCAATCCGTGAAAGAAGCTAAAAAGAAAATTGAACAGATCGAAAGAGAAAAAGAAGAATTACGAGAACGACTATCGAAATACGAAGAAGAAATGAAAAAAGCCAAGGAGGATTTAGAAAATTCTCAAATTGTTGCTAGAGAATTAGAACTAAAAGCTAGTACATTGGTAGCAGAAGCCGAAAAACTGGCAGAAGCTAGAAGGCAAGCGGAAGAAGCTGCTAGACAAGCTGAACAGGCTAGATCATGTGAGAAAGAGGAATACGAAAAACTAAAATCGGAAGCTGAAACTAGGTAACTTGACCAATTAATAAAATCCTGAAATCCTATTATTTTTTTAATATCAATTGTTTTTAATTTCCTAATGAAAAGATTAAGAGAAATAGCAGCAATGGAAGCAAGAGAAAGCGAATTGCAAGAAAAAATGGAAAGTTTGCAGATAGAGTATAACAAAGCTCAATTTGAAGTAGAACAATCGCAATTAAGGATGCAGGAAGCTATAGAAGCAGCTCCAGTTATTGAAAGAGAAGTCACACCACAAACAGACGTTGCAGAACAAACAGAAGTTCCAGTTGCTATAGAAACAAACGGTTATAAAGAAGACCAAGTAGATTCTGTAGTAGAGACAGTCGTCCAAGAAATCGTAAATAATAACATAGAAGTTGCTGAAGTCCAACAGCAACAAAATGAGATACCAGTAAAAGAAGAAGAAGAAGAAGAAGAAAATCCAGCAGATAGCATTACTAATAAAAAAAAATTAGAGGTATTTTAAAGAAAAAAAATTAAATTATAATAAATTAATTGATTAATTAAGTTAATCAAAATAAATTTATAATATTTGATCTCAGGCTCTTCGTCAAGAATTGGGTGAAAAGAGGGGAAATATTTCAAGGAATGATGTTATTCATCACAATACCCTACTACAAGGGCTCGACAAGTACAAGACTCTTAAACAGATTCGTATGGGTAATACTAAAAACCGAATTGATCAATTTGAGTCATTGTAAGAAACTTTTTATTTGCTGTTTTTTCGTTGAAAACTCTAAATATTCAAATTGTAGTTATAGATTTTACGAATATGTAAATTTGTCTTTTAATCGTTAGCAAAATTTGTAGGGGCAATAAGCAAAAAATCTTTTTCAAAAGAACTTTATATAAGATAACAGAAATGGAAAAAAATTTGTTAATCACAGGAATTATTTATGAATCATTTTAGATTATTCGTGAATATATGTATTAGTATATATATAAAGATAAACATTAGGGAAAAGAATTTTGTTAGATCGTTAATTAGACAATGTTGGATAATAGGTTAAATCCTGTTAATTTTTCTAATGATTACTTGAGTTAAAGAAGAATAGAATAAATATTTAAATTAAAGAAAAGTAATTGTGTAATCATCTTTTCTTTCATATTTTTTTAAAAGAAAAAGCAGAGTAGAATATAATAAAATTAGTCTTTCAGTCCTAATTAGTCGTAGAGGAAAAAGTATAAGCTAGGTAATAAGAACGTAATGCATATCATTTTCTTCACTGCATACCGTACATTTTTCTTATAATATTGTATTGTTTCTTTCTCTTTGTTTTATTATTATTATCTTTGTAAGTCTATTGTATTTTTTCTCTTAAATGGTGCCATATTATCTTTAATTCTAAGCAGCCATTTTTGTTCTTCTTTTTTGTATTATTGTATAATGATTTCCAAAGTATTTTAAAATCATTCATTTTGTGATGTCGCATTTTTTCTGAATATGCTCCAAATCAAGATAATTTAAAAAAGAGCTGAATCATGCAAATTTTATTCAATACACATTTTTAACAAGATCCTTTCAATCTAAATTGTAAATTATTGTTTCTTTTTTCTATATAAATATATATATATATATATATATATATATATATATATATATATATATACAGTATATTATAAGCAATGCACTCTAATTCTTGAAATTTGTTCTAATAGGCTATGATAATTAATGATTTTGTTGTTATCTGTTATTGTTTTCTAATTATATACCTTAGAGGAGAATGACTAATACGTGTTTTTTGTCATCATATTATTATTAATAACATTTAATAAACAGTTTATCATTATCTAACATTCCTTATAAAATATTTGGTTTTTTCATAGAAATAGATATAATTTATAAATTCTCTATAATATACAGTAATTAATATAACAGTTATTAAATCAATTAACTATCATCATTTTTGTGTGGCATATGTTTAACCTTCTAATAAATTTTATAAACAGTCGTTCACATTCAACAAGGATAAATATGTTAGTGAATACTTTACAGTACATTTACAGATATGATATAATTTATATGTACATGTATATATATATATATATATATATACATATGAATGTTTTTCTAATACATAGAGTCTTATTTATCGTCACCTAACATTCTGGTACCTTATCTTGGTGTTATCAAAGGCTCTCGTCTAGTTCCGCTGTTGCTTTGGTTTCTTTATCTTTCTTAACTGTTTGTTAACGATATGGTGATGAGTCATAACTTTCTTGATAAGTTAGCTTATATATTTGCTATATATATATATATATATATATATTCAGTATATATATATATTATATATATATATATATAAATAAGTACTCCCACAAGCTTTACAGGTATTAGAGTTGTTGAACCAGACTGTGGTGGATCTAATCAGTAGAAACAACAAAAAATGGACAACATACTACGTCTTTTTATTCTTTTTTCTATGTTGACTGCTTTACTAGCGTACAGTACGTATACATTAATATTTATTATTTATACATTTCGGTAAATATAAATCCCTTTTCAGAGACTTATTTTATGCAAGATGATGAATATTGTGGTAGGGATTCAGGGCTTCCCAAAATACTGGATATGAGCAGAAAAAATATTAGTTCGTTCAAATTTAAATCCCAGTCGGGGTCATATTATAAAAAGGATAAAAGATGCTTTACCACAATAAAGCCAAACCCTGGAAAAGGTCTTATACTTACGATTCGCAGACTTCATATGAGATCTGGATTTTGGTTTGATGTTGGAAGGTGTAGCAGATATGATTATGTCATCGTTAAAGGGGCAAGAACCTGTAAGTTTGTTTATTTGACGAAAGAATTTCTATTCTTAACTTAGCCTTATAAACCTAACTATTTTATCATGATACTATCATACGAAATGTTAATAATACTTTGATGATATTCAATAGTATTGTTTAAGGAGAAAGATAATTTTTTTTATTCTTTTTACTTATCATAAATTAATGTGAAAAAAGTTAACTACATTTTCTAATCGTTTTTTATTAAAAATTTATATTATATTAATAAATTACAGGGGGATTTTGTGGCTCAGGAAGCGATTTGAAGTATGATATATTTAGTGAACCTTCGTCTGGAGAAATTACTATTGAATTCAACACAATAGACAGACCAACTATTTGGAGATATGAGGGATTTTATTTTATTATTACCGAATATTCATTAAGCAGTTTTAAAAACAGTTTTGAATGTAAAAGGCAAGACAGATTCATTTCGGACAGTGTAAAATGTGATGGATATAATAACTGTGGAGACAAGTCTGACGAAGGCTTTGCATGGGGAGCAAAATGCAAATTATCGACCCCAGCTATTATCGGAATTGCAATTGGAGGAGTTATATTGTTGATTCTTATTGTGGGAACGATTGCGCTTTGTTGCAAGAAATCATCGTCAAGAAAAGAAGTACCTACGACAACTCACGTATATGCCACACCTCAACCAGTTCAACAACCGGGAGCTTACCAGCAACCAGGAGCTTACCAGCAACCAGGGACATACCCTCCTCCAGGAACTCAACCTTACTATAATCAATCAGCTCCTCCCTATTCAAATTAGATTAAAAGTTATTCTAAGACAAACTTTGTATATAATATCATAATTTGAACTTTAAAACGCTAAAAATTAAAAAAATAAAAGATATTTGCTTCTCTAGTACATTCATCTAACATTAGATGGCGACAGTGTTCTTTTAAAATGTAGGTAGTGGTCTAGTAATAGCCGATCAGCTTGCTTTGTTCTGTCGGGGTAAAGAGTAACGAGGGAAGAAAGTGGTTTTAATATCTATTTATAGCATCCATATGTATTTATATATTTATTTATAAACGTATAGACTGAATGTAAATAGATTATGTAGACTGTACAATCTAGTCGGACGAAGATTTATAAATCTATCCATTTAGACATATTGTTATTGAATTGTATGAAAAATAGGAAGAAGATAAACTTTTAGAGGAAATTTATCTATTCCTCTTAAGATTGTCGATGGGTAAATAACAAGTCTAAATAAACAAGGACGCTGTTAGTATTCTTTAAGGAAAGTGGAAAAAATCAGAAACGATGAAGAATTAAATATTTTAAGCGAGAAGAAAGATGTTTTAACATAAAAAAAACTATCGTTTTCTTTCTGGTGTGCCTCCTCAAAATGAATCATTTGTCGTTAATGATGGCAATAAACTAATACTATGATTTTGTCGTTGCAATCGAATATGCACGAAACCCTTTTTTTGCCGGTTTACTTAATGAATTTATTCGCTTTGTTCTCAAAGGGAACAACGATAAGCGAAAGGAAAATCGGTATAAAATGCAATTTTACACGGAACTGGATGATTTTTTTTCCCTTTTATTTTTCTTTATCAGTTTCTTTTCCTCTTTTCCTTCTATTTTATTGCTTATTATTGTAATGATTATATATATATATATATATATATATCAGTTTTGGTTTTGTATCATATTCTATACTTAGAACAACATGTATTTTAATGTTAAAAAATATCAATCCTTATTACCCGCTAAATTATCTTTAAATGTGATTGGATATTGGTATCACGAATACCTCCACGTATTCATCAATCTCTTCATTTCTCTACCTTTATATATATTTCATTGTTGTCGTATAAATATCAGGCTATCATTTTCTGAGTATTATTTGGAGTAAAAATTTATATTTATCCCTCCTCTCTCTCTTTCCACCTCCCTCTTTCCTGTCATTTTCTATTTCTTTTTCTCCCTTTCTCTCTTATCTCTTTGTTTTTTCTCTTTTTTCCCCATCTTTTTCTAGCCTATTATTTTTCTGTTTCATTTTATTCCCTACATAACAGAGTATATAATAGAGTGTAACAAGGAGTTTATTTGAAAATTAAATTCAATCTCATAAAATGAGCCCATTGAGAGTACTATGAGCATTTATTGTATAGCTTCTAACTGTGTTTTTAATATATAGCCATATGTTTTTTTTCCTTTTTATATTTGTTTGTTCAATTTAAAACTATTTCATCATTCATCGTAATTTTTTGTTACATTCGATATGAAAGGAAAGAAAAATCAAATATCAAATAAAGCTTTTAATTTCTCTTTTATTGGCCGTCAACACATAGAAAACAAATGTTTATATTATATGTATCGAGTTTGCTGACCTTTCCGCTCAGTTGTAACATTCTATTCGAAAGTTGATGAGAAAATCGTCAACTTGGACAGACGTTAGATAGTCCTGGGAGTAACCTCTATAAAATGGGCTTAAGTATGAAAGATGAAATGAAGTAACGAGAACAGGTTTAGATTGAAAGTGAAAGAAAAAGGGTGAGACAGGCAGACAGAGAGAGACATAGAGGAAAAGGGAGAAAGAGGGCTCAAGCAGAGAAAAGAAAGACAGAGAATAGAAATATAATAAAAGACATTAAAGAAAATGTCTGCCGTAAACTAGTACGCATGTACACTCTTTGAAAGATATGCAGTAATTTATAGAGAGCTATATATATACTGTATTATATATATTTGTAAGACTATATTTAGCTGATGTGTGTGTGAGAAAGAGAAGGAGAGAGAGACCGAGAGTGATTCTGAAACCAAAAAAAACACAGGAGATTTTTTTCTGAATAATATAGATAAATGGCCAATATAAATTCTGCGGTTCCATTCCGGAATATATAGTCCAATTTGAAAGCGGAAAAATTGTGGGAGACGTTCTTGGGAAATTTTCCAACTTACGAAAAGATCATGAAGCCTCATGAGAATTGCATAGCATTATATACTAGAAAAGCAGGGAATTAGAACTAAATTGGACTTATTGTAAAAAATATGGGAAAATTATTGGAAAATGCCAGAAAGATAATACTGAGCTTTGAGAAAGTGAAAGATGTTAGTGACAGATATCTTATGGATATGATCTTGTGTCATCAGAATGCAAATGGGAAAATACAAACATTCCTGCCTGATAATGATCCGAGGAAAAAAAACAATCACTGCTTTAGTTTAACATTTCGGAATACTGTTGGAAAACCCTTTCATTTGGATTTTGTTTGGTCTCACTCTTACCTGGACATATAAAGTTTAGACCTTTTTAAATGCTAAGTTTGTTTAGGCAAAATTAGTAGGAAGTTAATTTACCATCACAATCCAGGTGAAAGAGTTCGTGTAAGTGGGGCTATGAGTTTAAACGGTGGCCGGAAGGAGGTTGCACAAAGGTAATCATTCGCGAGAAATTAGGTTGTCATCCCTTCTTAGGCAGTCGCGTGCTCGCAATGAAGTGCAAGGATGTGTAAAGAGAGACATTTCTGCAAAAAGAAATGCCATCAACCTTGTCTTTCCTGTCAAGCAAAGTGACTGAACTCGTAAAAAATTGCGACTATTTCAATCTCAAACTGCGCTTGACTGTAAAAGACGAATGGAAACATACGAACGAATGTAGAAATATATTGCAGTGCGGTCACGTTTACTGTAGGAAGTAAGTAACTCCACGTTGAATAAAACTGTTTACGAAATCTTGTCGAAATTTATTACGCAACTGTTTTGTCTGTTTTTATTGGTCAAAAATTTTTCTCGCTTCTCTTTAATACATAAACCAACTTCTCTAATGTCTATTTAAGAAATAAAAACTGCATTTAAGTGTAGATGGTAAACACAAAATCGATAGTCACGTTGCCTGTAAAACAATTTTAGATTAAGGAGAGAAATGTAAAGGAAATTGTTGCTCACATTTCACACAGACGACTTTCAAAAGAGCTTGTCGGCAACTTGTTAAACATAGAAGAATACCTGTCAGTTCTTTGTGATTTATATCAATCTCCTTTTATTATTTTTTTTAGCGTTCTTTCTATCAAACAACTTTTATTATATTTTTTATTTTATTTTTAAATTGAAATAAAAGGCAGTTTAGTCAGATTTTGGTAAATTCATTTTGGCAGATTATTGCTTTTGGGCGATGAAAACGAATCTTTTAAATAAGTTTTCGTTTTTTGGTAGGCGATGGATGGAGAGAGAATAAGTGAGTGAGTGAGTGAGTGAGAGAGAGAGAGAGAGAGAGAGAAGGGGAGGAGGAGGAAAGGAAACTTTTAAGCAGGAAGTTGGTAATAGACGGCTTTTTTTTGTAATTTGTAAACGTTGACATGAGTCAATAAACAGCTGATATTAAAAGAAATTGCAGTTCTTTTAAAAAAAAAAGAGTTTAAGAGAGAAGCGAAAAAAATAAACATAGAAACAAATTATTAATACTGAGCCGTAAAACTTTTAAAAGGTTTTAAAGACATTATCTGAAAAGCGAAATTATTTATAAAATGACGTTAGATTACCAACCACTTTTTGTATTTTCCCTTTTTCCTGTTAAACTTAAATAAACAAATTGGCTTAATGAAAACTTAATTAAGTCATATTAATTTTAATAAATAATTAAAAAGTTCTTTTAAAGTCATTGTTAGAGTAAAATGTCTTTATGAGGATATATGGTGTAATTAGGAATATATGCAATATATATACTTGTATATAAATATGAGTAATATATACATTATGCATAAGACTTTATTTATTAAGCCTCTATATTAGTTGTTTATCTAAATTACAGAGAGAAAAATAGGAAGGCAAAGTGAAAGGGAAACCATGATCGGGGGCGAAAAAACCTCTTAGATAGAGAGATCTTTTTGTTATTGTTGAAAATTTTGTCTTTTATCCCATAAGTATATTCTTATCTTTCCTTTTAGTATCATTATTATTATTATTATTATTATTTACTTTATTATACTAACCGTATAAGTTTTTTCATTTATATGATATTTCCTTAGACTTTGTTATATTTAAATAGGGAATTCTCTTATTCAATTTATTATTACGCAAGTTCAAAATTATTGACCTTAGGGACTTTCTATATTCCATTTATCAACTAATAAAAAGTTCATTAATATTTCTTTATATAAAATTTAGTCTTTTTTTTTCTTTTGGTTTTGGCGGGAAAGAGATTGATCATGTTAATTAAAAATTACCCTGGTTTGGTTGTTTCCGTTGCACCATTACGTAACCATACTGGTAGTTTTCTTGAAGGACTTTCCCTTTTTTTTATTGACAATTTTTTTTTACTTCACTAATTAGTATAGTATTTTTACTTTTTAGCTTCAACCCGTTACAGGGATGTTTAAATGTTGAAATAGCTTTATAGTTTATCGTTGTTAAATTAAGTAGAACGAAATGTTAATTGAGCGATAATGGAGTATTATTGTAGGGGATTTTTAGATGTGAACAAATACATGACTTATTATAACGATACAGTTGAATTTAGATTGAGATATGAATAATGCTTACATGATTATTCATTTCTTAAATTGTTCTTGATTATTTCTTATTTGTATAGAAAAATAGGTTGTTTGTAATAAGTATTGATGTATTAAACAAAGCATTCTTAGGAATATGCTAAGTCATCAGTGGAGGTAACGAGTGAACTAAATAGATCACATGATGTGAATATTTCAGAATAAACAGCTAGCTCTTTGTCTAAACTTAATGTAATGAATACGTAGAAAAGTTATTTTAAAAATTAAACCTGGTTTGTCAACCAATTACGAGTGATGATTGAC